TTGGTGTCTGTTATTTTGTCTTAACCGTCTAAAAACGGGGGGTCCAAACCTTTTTCTCCAAGGGCCACATACAGAAAATTATAAGAAGGGCTGGGCCGCTCACTAGAGGTATATTACCTTATCAGTTAAGTTGTAAGTTAGCAAAATCAATCAAATGCAGGTAAGTTATGCTTGATACTTGAAAAAAACCGCTTAAATCACAGATCTCCATACGGTTTGATTAATTTTTTGGGCAGTTCATTCGTTAAAATGGAAGCCTCAGATTGCTTATAATAAGAGGAAATAGGAAGCGTCTATTTCAAGCTTGTTATGTAAATAAGTTATTGGGCTTTTTCTCATCAACTTAGATTTGTTAGAAAATGTTATTTGTTGTATTAACACATGAATACTGTATAATACATGTTTACATGTATATTTAAGAAGTACAATATAAAACAAGAAAAATGCTCAAAATGGCCTGTGGGCCGCATTTGGACCCCGGGCCGTAGTTTGGACACCCCTGGTCTAAAACATCATCAACAGCACAGAGGTTCTTACCGTATACTCAGGGCTGGAGGCTAGAATCTGTGTGACTAACATGGTCTTGATATCAGTACAAGGTCCTGCAAAGAGCCTGGAGCAAAAAAACAACAACAATTCAGAGTAACATGTTGCAACTTTTTATCCAGTTGCTGTTTTTTTTACTTTCCTGACACCAAAATATTGTCTTATCTCATGATGAAACACACAACACATGTAACATCTCAGAACCAGATCAGCATCCCAACTCACCACATTGTTTTGCAGAAGGCATGATAAGGAGCAGGAGCAGGATCCGGGACAGGGACGGCAGCCAGAGAGACAAAGAGTCCTGCAAAGAGAGCAGAGGCCAGCAGCAGAGTCTTCATGTTGATACGGAGCAGGTTTCTTCCTCCTGGAGAGCAGTGGTGTTTCTGAGAGAGCTGGATGCTGACTGGTCCACTTGCCAGCTAATTTATACTAAATATCAGGCTTGTCAAGCAAAGGACCCTTGAAATTGATTTTGTTTATGGCCTATACTTTGTGTCTTGTGATCATTGTCTTAAAGGTCACCTATTATGCAAAATCAACTTGTTCACGTCTTTATATCTGCGTTAAGTGATTCGAAAAGTTTCAGAAAAAAATATTTTCTTCTTTCCTGATACATACAGTACATGTATACACAATACTCTGTTCCCCTTAGCCATGTAGCCACATGTAAATCCTTTTTGATTTTGATTGCTCTGAAACATGATATTTTGTGGCTGTCTCATCTTCAAGATTGCATTTAATAACATGTAACATCAACACTCTACTTTCTGACTAAGTAGCTCCAAGCAAAAGTGTTCGTATTAAGGTTTAACGATATTAAGACTAATCAGGACATTGTGTCCAGATTGATGAAAAATGACTTACTGATTTTTAACTTTCTTGACAAATAAAAAAAGGTTGGTAAAATGTTATTTCAGAATTGCGATACTGCTCAAGGGTTTGCAGGATTTTAAATGAGAGGCATTGTATTGTGGAATTAAAGACAATCAGGGCTGTTCTGTCAGACAATCACCACAATCACCACAAGACACATAAGTCATACCCATAACCAAATCAATTACAAGGATCGTAACTCATGATGAGTCTGACATTTAGCATTTTATAAAGTCTAATTTCAGGGGCAAATGCAACATAATCTGATGATGCAGATGACAGAAAGATATTTATCCACTGAACATGCAGAACACAGAACACGTCATACTTACAGACCTGCACAAATGCATTTATAAATATCTCACTTATTGTCTTTATTTGTTTCATTTTGTCATGACTTGTATGTTACATAACAATGAACAAACACATGACACAGATGTGCAGAGCAGAGGGCGTTATTATGACCCCCTGGATAGAAATACTTCCATACATTTTCAAAAGTATATAATAAGTATGTAATAATGCTACACAACCAAGCTACAAATATACAACTGGCAGCTTGTTTAAAGGTAGGGTAGGTAAGTTTGAGAAACCGGCTCGAGATACACTTTTTGTTATATTCCATGGAATGCTCTCAACATCCCGATAGCAATGAATATCTTAAGTGCTTTGACAAAAAATCCATAAAAAAATGTCATCTGTGGAAGCCGTAATACTGTAAAAAGTACGACCAATCATTTTAGCCGGCCCGGCTAAAATAACTGGATGGCCTACCTGCCTGTCAGCCTTCCATCTGTGCACAAACTTATCTCGTGCCCTCATTGGTCATGTGCGCGTTCGTGTGTGTTGGAGGAGGGGCTCTATAAGGAAGTGGCAGATTTTCTCCGGTTGTGTATTTTCAAATTCTAGCGATCTCGAGCCGGTTTCTCAAACTTACCTACCCCACCTTTAAGTGATGCATACGGCAAATCCATAGCCAAGGCAAGCCCATTCACTGGTCATCTCCGTGATGCCCGGCGCTAAATTGACGCCACTTGCTGAAATCATCCCACATTTATGTATAACATGTGTTTGCATTTGCACAAGCAGTGCATCCACAAAGAGGAAAGAAAGTCTCTTCATTAACAGCATAAAACGTCACAGCAAATGTTAAAATGGAGTGATTATAAGATACTTTGCAGAGTAGCAGCATCCATGACAAGATAATTAATTCCTATTAAGAAAGGTCACTCACCTGTCAGCAGGTTGTTGAGGTTGCAGTAGTTGAGGCCAACATCAAGAAGGCTGGTTAATGCAAGAGAAGAAGACTGTGACAAAGAAGCACATTTTAGTTGATGTGTGCTTTTTCTCCTGATTTATTGAAGATATGTGAAAAATCTTAAATAACTTGTATGGGGATAAGGTGCTCTTTATCTTGTATTGTTTTTTTAATTTAAGTGTATTTCCTTTATTTCAAAATTGACATTTATTAAGCTAGAGAGTACAATCTATTAGAACACTAAGATGAAAATGTAGATTAAATTATTTTGTATTGCTGCCCAAAAAGATAGGATTCATAGGTTTCACTGCCTTCCTAATATGTAGCCTCAAAATCTCAATAACATTCTGCTTTGATATTAATGTTGAGACACGTTTGTGATGTTTTTCCGTTTGCTTTTTGTTGGCAATAGCTTTCTAGCAATCATCGGTAGAAGCATATTTCGCTAAAATAGGTCTCTGTAAGCCTAACGTGTTCTTTGTGAAACAGAAAAAAAGACATTTTGTTGTCAAAAGTGTCAAGTATCTTTTCACCAATGTTTTATTTGGGAGGAAAGCTAATGATTTTTTTTAAAACAGAACTTGCCTTACCTCTTTTAAAAGGCAGTTGCCCATGTGGAGACTCAGCAAGATAGCTAGCTTGCTCTGCTATGTGGGAATTTGCAAGCCCATACAAGCATTTTTTTCCCCCCTCTTTTACGACTGAAAGCTACTTTTTTGAGAACGGTTTTGATTCCTTTCATTTGTCATGATAACACTTTAAGCTAGAAGCACTAATACGCTTTATGGTAGTGTTGTCTTGTTATGGTTGTTATGAAAAAGCCTATTTTGTACTTTATTTTCAATACCTGTAACTGTCCTGTTGATTATGTATCAGTAGTATTTCCTTTGGCATGAATGTTTGACATATGCAGTACGACATGTATCATGGAAACCGTTCAGTCTGTATTGCTAATAAGTGCTTTTAAAAACAACCATATAGCTGAAATAAAGTTCTACATGAACCACGGGACATTAGAAGGGCTGTTTGTTTTTATAGCTTCTCCCGCTTTGTTCATTTGCTTGTTTTTTTGTTTTCTTTTCAAGTGGAGCTCAGATGTAGTTAGCCTTTTTATAAGCAGTAAATTAGCATTTTGTTGCTTTTCTCCTGCTGTGCAGCGTCTGCCTCACAGAGGAGACGGGGTGGCAGAGATGGGAGGTGTGAGGTAATTGAAAATGCTAACACCTAATAATGACTCAGCACCAGTGTGTGATAGGTCAGCTATGCTAATCAAAGAGGAGTAAAAGAAAACCCCAGGAAAGATGAGACACCCAAATTGAGCGATGCATCTTCTCCAGTGAGCGGTGACATCTCCCCTCTCATTTTAAGAAATTATGACCAAAGGCCATTTATGTTCTCCCTCATTGACTAGTCCATTCATAACCTGGACATCTTTGGACCGGCTCACACACAGCAGCAGTTTGCAGACGCTCATAACAAGACATCCATCATGCTGTCACCCTCTCGCCCCGTCAATGACTGCAGGGGAGACTCTGACACCTTTTTATTTCTTCTCGGATATCTGCGACTTGGCACGAGGCAAAGACGATGGCTTTGGTCTGGTGTCATGTCTATGGTGTCATTTTAAAGTCAAGTACCTGTCTTTAGAACAATGGGTTTACCTGTTACAGTGATAGACAGTGACATGAATGGCAGCCGCTGCTGGCTGCTTTGTGACCAAAAACAAATGTGGACAGCAGTCGCTTTAACATGTTTTCTCCTACAGCGGTTTTTCATTTCAAACGACAAATATTATTACTACATCATTCAGTGATATCATAGTGTTTTTGGTTTGTTTGATTTAAGATTGCTAATGTTGACCAATTTGTGAATTATGTGTGATTTACTTTTTAAAATGTCCATGTTTTTGTTTAATATAATAACTAAATCTATGTACATATAACATAGACGTACTCACTACTTAACACTTAACATATATTTTTGTTTTATTAAAAAAAACATCAGTTTGTATTTATTTTGAAGGACCTTTCTTGGCCTGGAAGAAGCTAAGTGTTTTAAATTAGTGTTTCTTGAAAAAAATCCTTACATTTGGACCAACTTAAAATCTTGAAAAGTTGGGTCTACTTTAGTTCAGTTCAATGCTTTTACCCTGATTTATAATTTAAAAAAAAGCACTTAATGTACACATGCTGAAATGCAATTCAAAATGTATGTTTAACAACAACCGACAGATAAACCTAACATGCTTTTAGCAGTTTTATTAAAGCTTAAGGTGTTGCTGTGGCCTTACAGACCCAGCGCAAACACTCGGAGCAGGGTTTTAGAAGAAGCCCTTGAACCAGGTCTTCTCCTTCTTCTTCTTGGAGTTCAGACTCTGAAGGTCCGTCAGCTGGGACTTCAAGGAGGATTCTGCTTTCTGCCACTCTGCCAAGTTTGTTGAGTCCTGAGGGAGGGTTGGCCTGTTCCCTTGCCACTTGAACCACTTATTCTTCTTCTCCTTCTTTTGGAGGGTTTGGCACTCAATCTGAGACTTTAAGTAGCTCTCTGTTTTCTGCCACTCCTCCTTCTCCATCTGCTGATTATATTTCAGCCTTTCTTTGTCCCGCAGGACGGTCAACCTGTCCTCCTCCAAGTGGATGCAATTACGCTCCATCTTCTGCACAGCCTCATTCAGATTGTCCACAAGCTTTTTATTTGCCTGTTGCTGCTCCTCGAGCTGAGTCTCGTAGGAAGTCTTTGTTTTCCCAACCTCCTCCATCAGCTGTTCAAGGAGACGATCCCCTTCAAGCTGTGCTTCTGCTTTTTCCTGAAGCAAAGACACAAAGGTCTTTTTTTCCGATGCATGCATCTCTAGCTGGGCAAGATGGATGACATGGGATACCTCCAGCTTTGCAGTGAGAACAATGTTCTCCTCCTGCCACTGGAGAGTCCTGATCTTCAGCTCCTGCTGAGCCTCATTTAGAGCGCCCATGAGCTTACTAGTTTGTGCTTCCAGTTGAGCGAGACAGGTCGTTTTAGATTTCTCTGTCTCCTCCTGGAGGTCAGTGATCTCTCGCTGGAATCGGAGTTGCTCAGTCTGCAGGAGATCTTCCGCCTTTTTCAGGGCTGTTGTGATCTTCCCGGTCTCCGTTCTCTCCAATTCGAGATGGCTCTCCAACTCCAGGTTGGTATTTGACACAACCAATATTGGTCTTAAAACACAGAGCTCACTTTGAAGGGCCTCATTTTCTGCCTTCATGTGCTCCAATGTGAGTTGCTTGTCTTTGTTAAGGGAGGTTTGATGCTTGAGATCCTGGAGGTCAGTGATCTCTTGCTTGAATTGAAGGCGCTCAGTCGCCAGGAGATCTTCCGCCTTTTTCAGGGCTGTTGTGATCTTCCTGGTCTCGCCTCTCTCCAATTCGAGATAGCTCTCCAACTCCACGTTCGTTTTTGCCACACCCAGCATTGGTCTTAAAACACAGAGCTCACTTTGAAGGGCCTGGTTTTCTGCCTTAATGCGCTCCAATGCCATCTGCTGTTCTTTGTTTGTCGAGGTTTGATGCTTGACATCCTGGAGGGTCTTGATCTCTTGCTGGAATCTGAGGCGCTCAGTCGCCAGGAGATCTTCCGCCTTTTTCAGGGCTGTTGTGATCTTCCTGGTCTCCGCTCTCTCCAACTCCAGGTTGGTATTTGACACAACCAACATTGGTCTTATAGCACAGAGCTCACTTTGAAGGGCCTCATGTTCTGCCTTCATGTGCTCCAATGTGAGTTGCTTGTCTTTGTTAAGGGAGGTTTGATGCTTGAGATCCTGGAGGTCAGTGATCTCTTGCTTGAATTGAAGGCGCTCAGTCGCCAGGAGATCTTCCGCCTTTTTCAGGGCTGTTATGATCTTCCTGGTCTCGCCTCTCTCCAATTCGAGATAGCTCTCCAACTCCAACTCCACGTTCGTTTTTGCCACACCCAGCATTGGTCTTAAAACACAGAGCTCACTTTGAAGGGCCTGGTTTTCTGCCTTAATGCGCTCCAATGCCATCTGCTGTTCTTTGTTTGTCGAGGTTTGATGCTTGACATCCTGGAGGGTCTTGATCTCTTGCTGGAATCTGAGGCGCTCAGTCGCCAGGAGATCTTCCGCCTTTTTCAGGGCTGTTGTGATCTTCCTGGTCTCCGCTCTCTCCAACTCCAGGTTGGTATTTGACACAACCAACATTGGTCTTATAGCACAGAGCTCACTTTGAAGGGCCTCATGTTCTGCCTTCATGTGCTCCAATGTGAGTTGCTTGTCTTTGTTAAGGGAGGTTTGATGCTTGAGATCCTGGAGGTCAGTGATCTCTTGCTTGAATTGAAGGCGCTCAGTCGCCAGGAGATCTTCCGCCTTTTTCAGGGCTGTTATGATCTTCCTGGTCTCGCCTCTCTCCAATTCGAGATAGCTCTCCAACTCCAACTCCACGTTCGTTTTTGCCACACCCAGCATTGGTCTTAAAACACAGAGCTCACTTTGAAGGGCCTGGTTTTCTGCCTTAATGCGCTCCAATGCCATCTGCTGTTCTTTGTTTGTCGAGGTTTGATGCTTGACATCCTGGAGGGTCTTGATCTCTTGCTGGAATCTGAGGCGCTCAGTCGCCAGGAGATCTTTCGCCTTTTTCAGGGCTGTTGTGATCTTCCTAGTCTTCGCTCTCTCCAATTTGAGATTGCTCTCAAACTCCAACTCCAGGTTGGTTTTTGACAAAGCCAGCATAGGTTTTACAGCATGGAGCTTACTTTTCAAGGCCTCATTTTCTGCCTTAATGCGCTCCAATGTGAGTTGCTTGTCTTTATTAAGGGAGGTTTGATTCTTGAGATCCTTGAGGTCAGTGATCTTTCGCTTGAATTGAAGGCGCTCAGTCGCCAGGAGATCTTGCGCCTTTTTCAGGGCTGTTGTGATCTTCCTGGTCTCGCCTCTCTCCAATTCGAGATGGCTCTCCAACTCCACGTTCGTTTTTTCCACACAGAGCATTGGTCTTAAAACACAGAGCTCACTTTGAAGGGCCTGGTTTTCTGCCTTCATGTGCTCCAATGCCATCTGCTGTTCTTTGTTTGTCGAGGTTTGATGCTTGACATCCTGGAGGGTCTTGATCTCTTGCTGGAATCTGAGGCGCTCAGTTGCCAGGAGATCTTCCGCCTTTTTCAGGGCTGTTGTGATCTTCCTGGTCTCCGCTCTCTCCAACTCCAGGTTGGTATTTGCCACACCCAGCATTGGTCTTATAGCGCGGAGCTCACTTTGAAGGGCGTCTTTTTCTGCCTTCATGCGCTCCAATGTGAGTTGCTGGAGTTTGTTAAGGGAGGTTTGATGCTTGAGATCCTTGAGGTCAGTGATCTCTTGCTTGAATTGAAGGCGCTCAGTCGCCAGGAGATCTTGCGCCTTTTTCAGGGCTGTTGTGATCTTCCTGGTCTCGCCTCTCTCCAATTCGAGATGGCTCTCCAACTCCACGTTCGTTTTTTCCACACAGAGCATTGGTCTTAAAACACAGAGCTCACTTTGAAGGGCCTGGTTTTCTGCCTTCATGTGCTCCAATGCCATCTGCTGTTCTTTGTTTGTCGAGGTTTGATGCTTGACATCCTGGAGGGTCTTGATCTCTTGCTGGAATCTGAGGCGCTCAGTCGCCAGGAGATCTTCCGCCTTTTTCAGGGCTGTTGTGATCTTCCTGGTCTCCGCTCTCTCCAACTCCAGGTTGGTATTTGACACAACCAACATTGGTCTTATAGCACAGAGCTCACTTTGAAGGGCCTCATGTTCTGCCTTCATGTGCTCCAATGTGAGTTGCTTGTCTTTGTTAAGGGAGGTTTGATGCTTGAGATCCTGGAGGTCAGTGATCTCTTGCTTGAATTGAAGGCGCTCAGTCGCCAGGAGATCTTGCGCCTTTTTCAGGGCTGTTGTGATCTTCCTGGTCTCGCCTCTCTCCAATTCGAGATGGCTCTCCAACTCCACGTTCGTTTTTTCCACACAGAGCATTGGTCTTAAAACACAGAGCTCACTTTGAAGGGCCTGGTTTTCTGCCTTCATGTGCTCCAATGCCATCTGCTGTTCTTTGTTTGTCGAGGTTTGATGCTTGACATCCTGGAGGGTCTTGATCTCTTGCTGGAATCTGAGGCGCTCAGTCGCCAGGAGATCTTCCGCCTTTTTCAGGGCTGTTGTGATCTTCCTGGTCTCCGCTCTCTCCAACTCCAGGTTGGTATTTGCCACACCCAGCATTGGTCTTATAGCGCGGAGCTCACTTTGAAGGGCGTCTTTTTCTGCCTTCATGCGCTCCAATGTGAGTTGCTGGAGTTTGTTAAGGGAGGTTTGATGCTTGAGATCCTTGAGGTCAGTGATCTCTTGCTTGAATTGAAGGCACTCAGTCGCCAGGAGATCTTGCGCCTTTTTCAGGGCTGTTGTGATCTTCCTGGTCTCGCCTCTCTCCAATTCGAGATGGCTCTCCAACTCCACGTTCGTTTTTTCCACACAGAGCATTGGTCTTAAAACACAGAGCTCACTTTGAAGGGCCTGGTTTTCTGCCTTCATGTGCTCCAATGCCATCTGCTGTTCTTTGTTTGTCGAGGTTTGATGCTTGACATCCTGGAGGGTCTTGATCTCTTGCTGGAATCTGAGGCGCTCAGTCGCCAGGAGATCTTCCGCCTTTTTCAGGGCTGTTGTGATCTTCCTGGTCTCCGCTCTCTCCAACTCCAGGTTGGTATTTGCCACACCCAGCATTGGTCTTATAGCGCGGAGCTCACTTTGAAGGGCGTCTTTTTCTGCCTTCATGCGCTCCAAAGTGAGTTGCTGGAGTTTGTTAAGGGAGGTTTGATGCTTGAGATCCTTGAGGTCAGTGATCTCTTGCTTGAATTGAAGGCGCTCAGTCGCCAGGAGATCTTGCGCCTTTTTCAGGGCTGTTGTGATCTTCCTGGTCTCGCCTCTCTCCAATTCGAGATGGCTCTCCAACTCCACGTTCGTTTTTTCCACACAGAGCATTGGTCTTAAAACACAGAGCTCACTTTGAAGGGCCTGGTTTTCTGCCTTCATGTGCTCCAATGCCATCTGCTGTTCTTTGTTTGTCGAGGTTTGATGCTTGACATCCTGGAGGGTCTTGATCTCTTGCTGGAATCTGAGGCGCTCAGTCGCCAGGAGATCTTCCGCCTTTTTCAGGGCTGTTGTGATCTTCCTGGTCTCCGCTCTCTCCAACTCCAGGTTGGTATTTGCCACACCCAGCATTGGTCTTATAGCGCGGAGCTCACTTTGAAGGGCGTCTTTTTCTGCCTTCATGCGCTCCAATGTGAGTTGCTGGAGTTTGTTAAGGGAGGTTTGATGCTTGAGATCCTTGAGGTTAGTGATCTCTTGCTTGAATTGAAGGCGCTCAGTCGCCAGGAGATCTTGCGCCTTTTTCAGGGCTGTTGTGATCTTCCTGGTCTCGCCTCTCTCCAATTCGAGATAGCTCTCCAAATCCAACTCCACGTTCGTTTTTGCCACACCCAGCATTGGTCTTAAAACACAGAGCTCACTTTGAAGGGCCTTGTTTTCTGCCTTAATGCGCTCCAATGCCATCTGCTGTTCTTTGTTTGTCGAGGTTTGATGCTTGACATCCTGGAGGGTCTTGATCTCTTGCTGGAATCTGAGGCGCTCAGTCGCCAGGAGATCTTCCGCCTTTTTCAGGGCTGTTGTGATCTTCCTGGTCTTCGCTCTCTCCAATTCGAGATAGCTCTCCAACTCCAACTCCACGTGCGTTTTTGCCACACCCAGCATTGGTCTTATAGCGCGGAGCTCACTTTGAAGGGCGTCTTTTTCTGCCTTCATGCGCTCCAATGCCATCTGCTGGACTTTGTTTGTTGCGGTCTGCTGCACGAGATCTTCCTGTGCTTTCCTCAACATTGGGCGGACCTTTATCAGCTGGCTTTTGAGATACTCCACCTCACTGACACTTTCAGTGAAATGCGCCTGTAGGCTACATATCTCTTTCTGCATGCCTTCTTGCTTAGGGCTGCATTTGTCATCCTCTCTACGCTCTTGGAGATGATCGAGAAGGTTTGCCAGTAAGTCCTCTTGTATTTCCAGGTGGACTCTGCCCTCAGACTTACTCGGGGTGAGCCTTGCCTTGCTGTCATGCAGTTCAACCCGGATTTGTTCCTCAAGAGAACTCAGGAAGAAATTAATAGGAGGGTCCTCCTCAGTTGAGTTGAAATCAATCAATTCCATATTTGTTTCGTGCTGGAACTGAATGTTTTAACTGCTATGTCTGTTTTTCTGTCTTCTCTTTGAAAGGCTGGTTGTCAAATGTGACCAAAGTGGCTGACGGAATGCACCTCCATGTAGTCCGGGGTTCTGGACTGCTAGAATTTCCAGGTTGTTATGACCACCTGTTCCGCTGATGATTCTGTTCCGCTGATGATTCCATTCCATTGATACATGCACACAGGCACAGATACATGCAAACATGTATATCTTTTTTGCTTTTATCTTGATTTTATGGATTAAACCCTCTTTTTAATCATCATCCAAAATTCTGCAACATGGTCCTTTTAAAATTCATACCACTAGAGCGCTGCAGGAAAGAGACCTGCATTAAAGTATAAGAATGTATTATTCTGATTATTTCAGGGATTATTCTTCTTTTTCTTTTCTTTTTTATCTTTATTCTTCTGTCTGGTCTTGTTTTGCTTTCTGTGTCTGTGAATTCCCACCTTGACAAACTGTGATAGTGGTCTGTTCGTACTGTCACAGTTAGCAAAAAGTGAGACAACACAAAACCAGGTGGACTAGGCAAGGCAAAACAAAAAAATAGACCAGAGGGCAAGAGGAACAAGTGCCAACCAGCATTATAAAAAAATGTTTTAAGGATTCACAAGGACGCTATAAGTTATAAAAATACCAATTATCATCATGATTCAATTATGGTTGAAACTACACATACGAAATATGCAATGAAGCTAAAAAATAAGCTAAAGAAACCTTTTTTTTATCCAGAAATGAACATTAAAGTAATCATGTCTTTCACATCAAAAGACTGTTAGAGCTCACAGCTCCTCATATCTGTTCAGAAACTAGACAAAAGTTAAACAAGTACAAACCACAGACTGTCTGTGTCATGGCGAATACAGTCACTAGTTTATTTATGTCTGTATAGGCCGTTGTGAGTGTGGACGGTCGGAGCATATACAACGTTAGCTTGGCCAATCTCCATTCAGAAAACACAGTCTGCAGACTTGTCAAAGCATTAATTCATGGTTTTTACTAACCGGTATCGGTATGTTTTTACTTCGGCATCATTTTGAAACGTGTATTACAATTAAATCACGGTCAAATATGTTCACCTTGTTGTAGTTGTAGCCCCCTTTGCCAGCGATTCTCTCTGTAGTTTAGCATACTCAGCCCGACTCAGCCTGGTTTTTGGCCCGGAAAGAACCTCGATTTTATGGGGCCAGAAAAACGGTGAAATAGTACCCGCTAGCCGGTACTACGCTACGTGGAAACGCAACCATAAATGGGCCCCGCACGGCTCGGCACGCTTAAAGCGAGCTCCGCGCTGTAGTGGAAACGCGCCATTATGGCGCATTTCCACTACAGCGCGCAGCCCGGTTTAAGAGGGCTGTGACGTCAGCGGCCCGTCTTTGGTTGCGTTTCCACTTGGCCTAGTACCGGCCGGCGGGTCCTAATTCACAGTTTTTCTGGCCTCATAAAATCGTGGGTCCAGGGCCAGAGACAACGAGGCTGAGTCGGGCTGAGTATGCTAAACTAGAGAGAGAATCGCTGGCAAGGGGGCTACAACTACAACAAGATGGACATATTTGACCGTGATTTAATTGTAATACACGTTTCAAAATGATGCCGAAGTAACAACATACTGATACCGGTTAGTAAAAACCATGAATTAATGCTTTGTCAAGTCTGCAGACAGACGGCAGGGGAAAAACCTTTTAAAATGCTTGTTTTCTAAATGGAGATTGGCTAAGCTAACGCAGTATATGCTCCGACCGTCCACACTCACAACAACGGCCTATACAGACATAAATAAAGCAGCGACTGTATTCACCATGACACAGGCAGTCTGTGGTTTGTACTTGTTTAACTTTTGTCTAGTTTCTGAACATATATGAGGAGCTGTGAGCTCTGAGTGCTAACAGCTAACGGCTGTGTTGTTTTTCTGGGGTCCTCTGAAGATCACGTCACGGCTCCGCCTACACTGCGTTACTATAGATACTGCCCCAGTTCCTAAACTGTAATGGAAATGCGCCATAAAGTGAGCCAGTCCTAACGAGGCCCAGCCATACCGAGCGGGGCCGAGCGAGGCCGTGTAGTGGAAACGCGCCATTACAGACACACGGCAGCTGCCGGTCAGGACGGTGGTGTGAAGGATAAACTCCATGCTCTCACCGTTAGTGATGTGTCGGTCGCGAACGAGCCGATTCTTTTGAACGGCTCTTTGGTACGAACGAGGGGAACCGAGTCGTACTTGGTGAGAGCCGTTCTTCTTATCGTTCAATCAAAGTTGGTCCGCACTCACTGCCTGCCAAAATTCACTCGCCTTTTAAAAAGCTTGATTTTGTTCCCCAAACGTATTCTGTGAAGACCCGCCCCTACTCTGATTGGTAGGTTTCAGCACGAGGAGTTAGGTGGGGTGGGTCTTAACGGAATACGCGAGAGAGAGAAGTCATAACAAGTGGTACTGGACAGATAGACGACGTGTTTTTCGGATGGAAAATGAGCCAAACGCGAAAACGCAGCAGCATTTGGATGCACTTCAACCAAAACCCAGGCAGTGATAAAGGCAAAATATCCTTTAAAGCAGGGTCAACAAATAATCTCCATCGCCACTTAAAAACACACTACTAATATTAAGAGTTGCGTGAATTTCATTCAAGGCAAGGCAACTTTATTTACTTAACACATGCAGAGGGTAAATTCAAAGTACATTCACTGACATGAATGACATGGATATGGCGCCACCTTGTGTCATGTTTACAATGCAGATTATTGACATTAGGTCTGGCAATGCAGTCAATCATTATCCTGGTGATTATTTCGCAGATAAACCTAGTAACCCCGCCCCCTTTTTAAAAAACGGCTCTTTTGAACGGCTCTTTTGAACGGCTCTTTGAAAGGAACGGAGCCATAAGATCCGGCTCCCTTCAAAGAGCCATAATTCCCATCACTACTCACCGTGCAGATTTTCTGAGGAAGTGTGGAGGACCTCGATAGACATGTTGCTGGTAGAAACAAGCTGGAACGGAGAAAAAGCTTAGGTGTTCATTTATGAGATATTAAGAATTCTTCAGAATAATTTTGCACTGTTTATACATTGAAAAACGTATGCATTGCACTTTTTCCCATGGGAATTCACGTGCTGCTATCACAACCTCTGCTTCTTGTTTTTCAAAAGATTTAGGAAACGGGCGTTAGTGTGGCAGGGGCGTCCACAAATATTTGCTTTGTACTATACTCTATGTTATCACTGGATATATTAAAGAAACACATATTCTTTTTAAGAAGCTCGATCACAGCAAATCAAGACTTAAATTAAAATTGAGATTTATATTTATGTTTTCAAAAGACCAACCCATGGTGTTCCAGAAGCATGATTAGTGTTAGAGCTAACATAGCTTACTTAAAAAAGGAAAATAAAGGATTCCTGACTACATTTAAAAGACAAACTTGCTTTAAGGTTATCACTATTTATTTTATTATACATTTTTCTTATCTAAGATTAGGGTTTGGGTAAGGAAACAGGTTGAAAGTCTTGTTAACCTATTAAGGCACATTTGTTATATTTAATTAGGGCAAATATATATACAATGGAATTCACTTATTGTTTTTTTAGGTTAAAGTTTTTTTTTATTCAATCCAATTTGCAGACAGAGGTTTATATTTTGGATTATGATGAGTGGACAAGCTGTACAATTAATGTTTCAGTGTCCTTACATATTAAGTGTAAAATTAACTGTGTTCAAACACAAGAGAAGAAGAAATACAACAAAACGTACCATATAGTGACATTTTTCACAGACACAAGACACAAACAGGACTGAAGGCTAGAATCTGTTGCACCAGTATGGAGCCGGGCATCCCAAAGAGCCTGAAGGAACAGAACAATTATTACAGACACATTCTTTTTGAAATGACAGCAACAGTTTCCTTCCAGCTGATGCTTCTATAGTATCTATTGTTTGGCATTGTTATGTGACAACAATCTTTTCTTTCTCCCCTTGCCAGCTAAATTATACTAAAAATCAGGCTTGTTATGAGTATACACCATGAAATTGATTTTGTTAATGGCATACCTTGTGGGTCTTGTGCTCTTTGTCCCAAATTAATAGATACAATGCCTCTTACTTTGACACGTAACAAACCTATGCACATTGTATTACAACATAAATAACATTTAACACATTCAATACATTTCAAATCAGTTAACATTAAGACATAAAGTCATAATTTGTCTTTTTAACATGAAGGGGTCAGTTCACTATTCTAGACATAATGTGGTTATTTTTAAACCTAAATATCAACTGTGTTCATTGTAACTTCTTTTCAAATAATGGCAGCATTTACAGTGTGATTGGTATTGCACACGATAAAAGTGACAGTTTCTGAACAGAAGCGCTGCTTTTGAGTGTTTTTTAATGCAATCTTTCAAAGTTAAGAGAGCTTCAACATATTAGTCATCTCTATTGTACTGGAACAACCTTAAATACCTGTGCCATAGGGACTCGGACAGCGACACCCTAAGGCACACACAGTGAATAACACCAAATTGTGACAGCCCAAAACACAAACATGAACTCACACGAAAATTGCTCTTACAAGCATTAAGTTACTATGCTCCAAACATCTGGAACAAACTCCCAGAATCCTGCAGGTCTGCTGCAACTCTTACTCATTTTAAATCGAGGCTGAAGACTTTTCTTATTGCCACTGCTTTTAATTGAACTATTTATATCTGACACTGCACTGTAACTTTTATTTATGTAGTTCATACATGTATTATTCTATTTTAGTTTATTTTATGTTTATTTTATTCTCTTTGCTTTTTAATAAATGTTTTTAAATGCCATTTTATAATGTGTTTCCGCTGCACCATTTCTTAATAAAACACATGTCTAATTTCATTTCCTGAACCGACCTCTCCCTCACAACAGAAAACTAAAATATCCCTTCATTTAATTGTATTTATTTATTTATACACAAGTTTAAATCCAAAT